TCCGTGTGGGTGCTGGGAATCAAACTCAGGTCCTCTGCAAGAGCAGCCAGTGCTCTCTAGCCCTGGTTTTGCTTCTAAATTTAAATGTAATTTTTTGAGATAGTTTCAGTACGTAATCCTGGCTGCCTCCCCAGTGCTGGGATTAAAGGTGTGTGCCACCACAGCTAGCTTAAGATGTGCAGCCCTGGCTAGAACTCACTATCTTCTTACCTCTGCCTCTCTCTCCTTGAACTCAAAGCTCACTAATTTGGCTACTCTAGTTAAGTAGCTGGTTCCAGGAATCTTGGTCTCGTCCTCCAGTGCGAGTATGACTAGTGGCCCACTATGCCCATCCAGCATTTTTTATGGGTTCTGGGGGACTTAAACTCCAATCTTCATACTGGCGTGGCAAATGCTTTACCCCAGCCCCCTTGCTCTGTGTCTGTTACCTGCAGTGCATTAAGCATGGGTTGCTAAGTGCTCACCATCCTCTGCCAAGTTGTTTTAGTTGTTCATCAGTTCAAGGGGTGAGGAGGAACTCTCTTTTCTACTGTTGGTGTTTCAGGCAAGAACATGAGCCGTCTCTACACAAGTGACAACTGCTCATTCGATGACGTGGATAAGCTGATGAGTACCTTGCAGCTGGCAGTCCACATCCCCACCTTCCTCCTTGGTCTGGTCCTTAATCTCTTGGCCATCCGAGGCTTCGGTGCCTTCCTTAAGAAGAAGAAGAGGCAGCCAGAATACATTGCCACTTCCATCTACATGATTAACTTGGCTGTCTTCGACTTGCTGCTTGTGCTTTCACTCCCATTCAAGATGGTTCTGCCACAAGTGGACTCCCCCTCCCCCATCTTCTGCACTCTGGTGGAGTGCCTGTACTTCATCAGCATGTACGGAAGCGTCTTCACCATCTGCTTCATCAGCCTGGACCGCTTCCTAGCCATCCAGTACCCAATCCTGGTCAGCCACCTCCGGTCCCCCAGGAAAACCTTTGCGATCTGCTGCATCCTCTGGATCCTGGTATGGATCGGAAGCACCCCCATCTACACTTTCCACGGGGAAGTTGAGAAATACAAGTGCTTCCATAACATGTCTGATGGCACCTGGAGTGCCAAGGTCTTCTTCCCCTTGGAGATCTTTGGCTTCCTCCTTCCCATGGGCATCATGGGCTTTTGTTCCTATAGGAGCATTCACATTCTGCTGGGCCGTCCAGACTACACCCAGGACTGGATCCGACAGAGAGCCTGCATCTGGACCATCGCTACCAATCTTGTCATCTTTGTGGTCTCTTTTCTCCCAGTGCATTTGGGTTTCTTCCTGCAGTTCCTGGTGAGGAACGGCTTTATCTTGGAGTGCAGAGTCAGGCAGAGCATCAGCTTGTTCCTGCAATTGTCCCTGTGTTTCTCCAACATCAACTGCTGCCTTGATGTTTTCTGCTATTACTTTGTCATCAAAGAATTCCGCATGGGCATCAAGGCCCACCGACTTCACTCAGTCCAGCTGGTCCACCAGGACACCACGATCTCCAGGGGTTAAGGGAAGGTACCCCTCTCAAGGGAAGGAGATCCTAGTCCCAAAATCTTATAAGGAACATTCTGTGCTTCTTTGACACTCACTGAGTAACATCTTTGTTCTGTGTACCCTTAAGACCTTTCCACAGCACCTGGATGACTGAGGTACATCACCTTTGGTTTGGGTTTGCTAAAGAACAAGGTGACTTCTTCATTTCTAAGTCCAATATGTATGAAGCAGAAGAAATGAAAAAGAAAATGTAGCATTAGACATCTGTTTCTCAGCTTTTCTATCTTTCCATTCTGTTGGAAGAGTCTAGAAAGGGAGAGAGAGAGATGGAGAAAGGATTAGGGCAGGGAATCAAGAGCATTTTGGTAGAGATCTAGGGATAGGGAAGAAATATGCCTTCAGGATAGAGTAAGCGTGTACTTTTTTTTTCCAGACCCTTCTGAAGCTCTGTTGGCAATTGACCTCACAGAAATGATGACAAAGGGAGCTTTTAAGGGCTGAACAAATTCCCTTCCAGCCCTAGAAGGCACAAGAGGCCATCCAAACCTCAGGCCCCTGAGAAGGATTAGATGGAGGGGACAGTGTGAAGTAGGTCACTATGGAGGGGGACACTATGGGGCCAGTAGGGACAGAGTGGAAAGTGAGCAGAGTGAAAAGGTGTAGAATATACCCAGGGAAGGAAAGAGACACACCGGAGCTGGAACTGGATGGCCCCTTTCCTATTGCCATCCTGTAGTAGTGCTGTCCCAGGACTAAGACAGCCTAAAAAATATAACTCTCTTAAAGGTGACCAGTCTTCTATGTTGAACAGCCTTGAACAGATTCAATAGACCTATGTGAAAGGGATGAGAAAGGATTGAACTTAACTTGGTTCAGCCATAGCAGAATGAAGAAGGTGTCCCTTTTGGGTCCTACTTGGACAGCTGGTACTGGTGACACTGTCTAGGGAGCTGGCCAGAAATTGGAGGGGAGGGAGAGGCTTTCCTCACAAAGACCTGGATTGGAGGAAGGTGGTAGGCGCTCACCAGTTCCTGGAGGGAAACTACAGGCAGCTGAATCAGTGTGGGAGCCTTCATCAGCTCCTCTTACTCTGGCAAAGGAGCTCACAGTGACAGCTGAAAGTCTAGCTTGCGATGACTCAGCCTTTCCAGAGAGTGAAATGATCAGAAGGATAAATTGTGGGGTGTTTTTGCAAGACGGAAGGAGTGGGACGAGAAGAAACCCGTGAGACTTCGCATGAATAAGACACGAGTCTTTAGGAAGAGAAGCCACCACAGCCCTAACTGGATCCTGCAGGGGCTGGGGGCTGGGGGATGGCGTGGAGAGGGACGGGAGAAGATGGAGATGTGTCTGTAATTTGGGAGCTGCCCGCAAAGCAGAAGATGGTGGTGAGGCCAGGCGTGGGAGGAAGGAGGAGTAGGAAGGGAAGGAAGAAGAGGAAGGGAGGGAGAGGAGGTAGAAGGAGAAAGGAGAGGACAGAAAAGGAGGAGAGGAGGAAGGGAGATGGGCAGGAAGGGCTGAGGCCGTGAGAGAGTAAGGAAGGTGAGTAGGGAGGCTAGGGGCAGAGCAGCTTCCTCCCGTCATGGATTAGAAGCCATGGAAGGGTGGGACATCCAGGCCGTAGTGGCTGTGGCAATGTTTAAGTGTCACTGTGGGAGCCACCTGTGGGCCACTGAAGGAAAATGTAAGGAAGAGACTCAAGGACCTTGGCAGTGTCTGTAGAGGAGAGGGGTACGAGGACAAGAGCCCAGTGCCAGGGTTGGGCCTCCAGGAACCTCTTGGCGGACTCAGGGCTGTGCAGACCCAGAAGTGGATACTGTTTTGTCTCTCAGCTGTCTTGGACAGAGACACCATCTGTAACACTGAGACAGCCTGACTGTTACGTACAATAGAACATTTGTGGCTGCTGTAGGTTAGCCCGTGACCGGGTAGGTCGTGGGACCACCTCCTCCGAGTTCTGTCAAAAGGGTAGGGAATCTAGAGCCATGAACTGAGGAAAGGTAAGGACAAAGTTCCTGGAGGGGGACAGCAGTGTCAGATCGGTGTGATGACCCTGGACCTGGAGATGGCTGGGGGGGGGGGAGGTAGGGCTTGAGAACCCCTGATTCATTCCAAAATAGTGAGTGAAGGGAAGACAATTCTTGTCTTTTCCCGTGGAGACTTACCTGGTGTGTGTCCAGACTCTGGGCCCAAATCACCAGTCCTATGGGTCCTCAACTGGCAATTGGCCCAGCTGTACCGGAACTGAGGAGGGTCGGTGTTAAAGTCGGAGTGCAGCATATTGCACCGGTGAGTGGGGACACCCAGGACTTAGTTGTGGGAAAAGTCTAGATCCCTGTAACTAAAGCCGATGGGGCTAGAAGCTATTGTTTAACCATAAACATGACCTTATCTGTACCCAGGCTAGGAAGCCTGACACATCAGCTACATGTACAGTTGTAAAATCTAGCAACATTAACTGGAAAATCGATTTGATTAATATTATTTACTGAATAAATAAATTCATTCAATGCACTGTGTCCTTGTCTTGGGCTTTAATTTCTGGTTCCAGAGAAGAACTGGTCTCTAATGGCCCCGCTAAGGGATTCAACACTTGTGGTCCCTTTACCAGACACCTGGGCACCAAGCATGATGTCACAGGGCACCTCTCAAGTGTTCAACTGGTTTTCCCGGTTGATCAGGAGCTAGACACCTAGGGGGTGTCTAGTGGCAGTCTCGTGGGTGCTCAGTTAGCTGTAGTAGCCACTAAGTCACTTAGACCCCATGCACCCGGCTCCAGTCCTTTTAGCCTGTTCCTCCATCTTGAACCATCACAACACTGGCTCTGTAAACATGAGGGGCCCAGCCCAAGAGGCCTGCTGACCACACGTCCTCCAAAGGTAACACTTCCTTCTCTGGCCAGTTATGGTATAAATCTATCTTTCCTCATGGGGAACTCCTCCTCACCTACCAAAGCCCCTGGCCGGCATGGCCTAGGCCTAAGTTACTCCTTTCTCCTACATACTCAAGTTCCAAGACATGACCCGGGTGTGGAAGGCTGACCAGGGACAGCCTCATTTCTTAACCGTCACTTCTCTGTTAATCCTAGCTACCTCATGTCTCTCCCCTTGGCTCCCAGAGGATTACATTGGACAACATCTATTTATCATTTGCACTTGCCGCTGTTTCTCAAGTGTCCCCTCCCTGTGGACCCTTCCAGGGAAGATTTAATTGGAAAATGCCTGTTCACATCAGCTGCATTTATTTGTCAGCTATGTTCCTCACGTGTCCCCTCCCTGTGGACCTTTTGAAGCTAAAGTCACTACAGTAATACAGTGGAGATGCCCTGGGTTTCTGAGAACGCCCACAGGGAAGATTCTAGCCTCTAGAAAGTTACAATGAATCACCAATAATTTCAAAGATGCTTGAAATGACTGTAGCGGCTGCAGAGACTTGCAAGGATTAGAAAGGACTGGCTTAACAGATCATTGGTGAGCCTTCTAACCAGGGATGAAAAGGCTCACTTCGACAGCACACACACTAAAACTGGAACTACACAGAGAAGATTAGCATGGCCCTTGCACAAGGATGACACCCAAATTTTTGGAGTGTTACCAATTTTGTCAAATAAATAAATAAATAAATAACTGAGTGCCAGCATGTGGAGATGCTACCTGTAAGGTCCTTTATGGTCCTCAGAGGGCCAGCTACGCTGTGGACAGCATCCTTTTGGGGCCACAGAGAGGCTGACTGAGGCCACTATGAGAATCTCATTCTGAGGACAGGGGACCCAAAGAGTCACAAAAGTTGATTTTGAGGTGCACGCCCCTGAAACTATCACCATAGCTCCTCTCACTTCTCAGCAGTGCCTCTCGGTAAGACCAGGGTAGAGCTCCCACAGGCGCTGAAGGAGCTTGGAGCACAGTAGAGGTGAACACAGCATGTTCACGTCCCCTCGTGCTGGGCCGGGGTGGGGCCAGGGGTGGGGGGACAACCTTCACTGTGATCTACAACAGAAGTGAGGCCGGCTGTCCTTTGATGTCTGCAAAGGAAAGACTTCAAAGGAATGCTTGTCGGAGCAAACCTGAGGCTCACCTTTGAGGCCCCAGGCGGCGCCTTTGCTCCAAGGCAGTCACCTGAGCAACCATAACCAAAACTTGTCTGCAAGGATGCAGTGCAGTCATGGGGGTGGGAGGAGATGGGAGAGTGTGGGAGGGGCCTTGAAGAGCACAGACACCAAAAGAGGGTATTCAGGGTGATCTGCAGAGTGTGGCACAACCCCTTTTCTAAGGATGGTTTGGATGCTCAAACACTCCTGTTTCCCATCCAAGTCACATGATGGGAAAGGTTGATAGTGAAGAAGGCTAGGCACTTAGGGCCATTCGTTGTTCAGGGATAAGCCAGCCCTGACTAAACCTGAGGATGGCAAGAGCTGACTCTCAGAGACAGAATCTCTCACACAAGCTGAGCCTGCCCAACGGATAGGACTAAGGCAAGAGACACAATGCTAGTGGCAAAGGTCCAGGGAGAAGACAGTTTTCCTTCCCTTCCCTCTCCAGTAGAGAGGACCTACGAGCCAGGAGTCCTAGGATGGTTAAGGAAGGCTCCAGACAGGCTTCAGGGTAGGGGGATATTTGGGGAGTGGGACTTCAGAAGCATTTGGTAGATGAGGAGATGCCCCCATAAACACACAAGATAGGCTGGTACACCTAGGCACTGGGAAGGACCAGTCCGGCTACAGGAGGCCTCTGCCCTGTTCTTCTACACAAGCACGCATATCCCCTTCTCCACCCCCTAAAGGGGCAGCTGGGGCTTTGCTTTCACTGAAGGTGATCAAGGACAATCACTTGCTATAGAGTGGGGCAGGGGACAAGTGCCAAAACACAGGTGCTTTGTAGACTTGCCTGCACCTGTTGGATCATTTGGTCAGGAACATTTCAGAACCAGACAGATGGGCTTCTGGCATCCATGGAGGATGGCATCAGGCCAGCATGCCTTGAGTGTTATAGGCAATTTAACTCCAGAAGCAGGGGGGTTTAAGCCATTGAGATGAACACAGATAAAGGTTGGTGGTTAACAGAGATGAACTGTTGGTATTTTCTCCCTGGGATTTCTACAGAGCACTCAGATACCAGAGATACAGCCAGGGGGCTGATAGAGTGTAGGAGGGACCACTTAAATGGCAGCAAAACATTCCTCTCCATCATGGAGGCTGAATGCACAAGGTCTGGCCCGGCCCTGAGTCTGGTGAGAGCTCTCTTCTTGGCCGCAATTGCTTGCTTTTTTATTATGTCCACTCATGACAGAGACAAAACAAGCTTTCTGGAATCTTCTGTGAGGATACTGGTCTGTTTGGGTCAGACTCCACCGTTAAAAGTTTCATTTTACCTTTATTGCCTCCCCTTAAAGTCCAGCATTAGGCTTCGATGCCTGAATCTAGGTGGAAACATTCAGGGCACGTGTCTTTTACTCTGTGAACTTGAATAGAACATACATTCCTCAAGTTCAATACACCCAGCTCTGAGCTTCATGACATTTAACAAAGACATGCCACCTCTGTTGTCACTGGGATTCCCTCTTGCTCTGGGAATCCTGCATGAATTCTAGCAAGAAAGTTTCCTTAGGACCCACAGAGATGGCTCAGTGGTTCAGAGCGCTTGCTGCTCCTGCAGAGGATCTGAGTTCAGTTCCCAGTACCTTCAGAGGGTGGCTCACAACACACACAAATAAAATGAAAGTAAATCTTTAAAGATAAGTGGAAGCCGGGCAGTGGTGGCGCACACCTTTGATCCCAGCACTTGGGAGGCAGAGGCAGGTGGATCTCTGTGAGTTCAAGACCAGTCTGGTCTACATGAACTAGTTCCAGGACAGGTTCCAAAGCCACAGAGAAACCTTGTCTCAAAAACAAACAAACAGATAAGTGGAGGTAGCTGGAGAGATAGCCCCAAAGTTAAGAACAGTTCCAAAAGACCTGGATTTGATTCCCAGTAACCACAGCAGTCTGGAAATCTAGTCCCAGGTGATCTGATGCCCTCTTCTGGCTTTCTCAAGAACTGCAGGCACATGATGCAAAGGACCCAGACACATAAAACAAACATAAATAAATAAACAAATTAGTGAGGGTCCTTATTTGTGAAATAGTGGAGGAAGGGTCACAGACCCAGTTCCCAATAGCCAGGCCTGTGAAGGAAGGCTTCCATGTTACGTGGTTTCAAGACTTTCTCCTACAGTTCCCATAGGGTTGCAAGCTGCTCCTCCCACCAGCTCCAATGTCTCTCCCAAAGGGCTCACACCAAAAACACCACGGCCACGCCTTCTCCCCACAGATGGCACTCTCTTCATCTGGACCTGGGGCTCCGACGCCTGGCTTCTTTCAAGACAGGGAGAAGTTGGAAGATATCCAAAGTAGATGTTTAGCTCCCACCCTTGAAATCATGATCCCGGTTGGAGAAAATGGAACCATGGTGTCAGGACGGCATGAGGGAGCTCCAACATGTTCAGTCAAAATAACTGGCATTTGTGTGTCCTGGGCAAATGCCACGTCCTGAATGGCACAAGAAGGACAGAATGGGGGTGGGGTGGGGATTGCAGCTCTCTGAGGTACCAGTGGGTCCTGAAGAGGAAGGAACAGGGAACCCGGGAGCCCACACCTGCCATGGGCTTTGCTTGGGATGCCTGCAATAGTGCCCCACCACCACTAATAGGTTAGTATTCAGCGGTTTAGGTGGAGGGACTAGGAGTCCAGGACTTAAGCACGGGAGAGGGGCCACCCCTCTCACCTGCTGGCGGCACTTACCTGTGGTAAACGAATACCCACAGGCATCCCCGGTCTGTGGTGTGAGCGATAAACCTGTGGGGTTGCTGGTCTGAAGCCTACAGCTCCTCTTGGTGCACACACACACACACACACACACACACACACACACACACACACACACACGACTACCTACTTCCCCTCTCCCCTAGAGAGGTCCTGCCTGGAGCCTCAAGGGTGACACCTTCTGACAACATGGCTCAGCCTTCTTCAGGGGTCAGCAAGCAAAGCTGAACTTCCCTTTGGACTCTTTGGACTAAACGAGGAGCCTGGGAATTTTGAATCATTTGGGGACCATCTCCCTGTCTGAAGGACACATGGGGACCAAAAGTCTGAGTCTCGGCAATTACAATTAATGTGAGGATTTTTGTAATCTAAGTCATTGAACAGGTCACGCTAGTCACACTGTCATCTTTAAACATATTCATTAATCTTTGTCCCTTCCTAGGAGTTGATGACATCAAAAATTCCACTCTCCTGGGATGTCCTTACCTGACCTGATGTGAAGGTTCCTAGGGACCCCTAATTGCCATCCCCCCAGGGTATGGTCAAGGCCCACCCACTCCCAGCAGAGCCTGCCTTTGGCACAGCTGTGAATTCAGAGTTGCCACCTTCTGATTCCCCTCCTTGGGTCCTTCCTACCCCATTGTTTTCTGAGGAATGGGGAAGAGGACAAAGCCATCATTCAAAAGCAACGCCAAGAACAAAACCCCTGTGGAAATGGCCCCCCAGTCCCTCAGAAGTTTAACAGCAGGCTGAACTGGTGAGCTACTGCCTCCTTCCTTCCCAAGCCAAGCTACAGCTGAAATAATCAAACTCAGAAGGAGGGCAGCCTGGGTGCAGGGTGGCTGAGGGTGTCCCCAGCAGCTGATGCAACCTGGATGCATTTTATGTCCTTAAGCATCAGAGCCCTTTCCTGCCTTTGGTAAGTTCTTAAGCTATAGCCTTGTCAGTTGTCCTTCAGAAAGAATCTGGAGGGCTCTAGCCCAGGAAACAGGACCGCAAAGACCAATGCTCTGAGAGGTTGGGGGCCTTCCGTCGGCTCCCCCACACTCCCAAGGCCCCTCTGACCTTGCCTTTCCATTAGATCTACGCATGTGGCAGAATAGACTCATCGTCACACACCATGTCCTCTTTCGGTCCCATAGAGGATCATTTACAAACCACTGTCTGTTTTACGGCTCATGAGACTTTGTCCTGGGCTTCTGTGTATGTTCAAAGCTCATTAGATTCCCCCAGAAGCTGTGTATGAGTCATCTCAAAGTTGTCTACACTCTTGCCTCCCCAACAGGAGTCGGGTATGCCTCTTTTTTTGTGCCCTGCTGAGCTGGTGGGTGGCCATGCACTGGTGACTTTCCATGGTCTGGTTTTTCCACATTTCTTCTGTCACAGATGCGTGTGTGCTCCCTCTGGTTTCATTTGTCTTTGTCAGTTTGTTCCAGAGAATGTCCTGATGATAGAGGGAAATGTCCCTTTATCACATGGGTCAGACACTCTGTGGGGGTGGAGGGGTGGGTGCAGATTACTTTGACTTTGGACGAGAAGCATAATTGGCCAGTTTTCCCCTTAGGACTGTGGGGGATGCTGAACTCCGAGTGTTATCCCAAGTCTTTCTGTGTATAGACCTGGCAATGACAAAGGAGTGATCTCATAAATCAGATGGCCTTGGGGCTGGAAACGGGCACACAGAAGGGCCTTGGCTTTGGAGCTCACAGACACTGGGTACCACCATCATCCCCCAAAGTGATGCTATGAAATACGTCAGTGTTCTCGGGCCTGATTCCTGGCATGTAATTCCTAAAATCCTCAG